GAAAGCAACAGGAACTTGCTCTCAGAATATCCATACAGTAAGTCAGTGTGTGCAGTGCTGTTGGATGAGATTTTTCAAAAAAAAAAGTTAAAAAAAGAGCATATTTGCCGAAGCATGGGGGCCTGGGGTAGCCAGTGGATGGATGGCCCCTATGCTTCAGCATATATATTTTATAATATTTGTTGGCACATTTCATGTGTGTGCCCACCATTAGAAGTGGGTGGGATGCAGGAAGATATAATCTAATGCTAGGCATAACACACACTTTTTCTGGCTTTTTTTTCATTTAGTCCACAGGCTGCAAAAAAAAAAAAGAACATAGCATATACACCCAACAAGGACCAGTGACGTACTGGTTCATCACTGAACTTGAGTGGTTATACCAGGATGATGCCTGCAGCTGCAGTGGCTAGTGGCTAATTAGCTGCAGGATTGCTTTTACAAGCAGCCGGAGAAGATGCCCCCTCCCCCGCTGCTTTCCACGGCCTTCTCGGGCAGAACCTGAGAATGCAGCCGATGTTTCTGCCAGCTCACCATAGAGCTGATTGGAGACCAGCATGGTGCCAGTCATCTCTATAGTCTAAGAAATCGGAAGCTACGAGCATTTTATAACTTCAGTTTCGCAGGATATAAAACAGCGCCATTTGTAAACTGGGAAAGCATCTGATCACACCGATCTTGGCGAGATTAGATAATGTAAGGGCAGAGGAGATATCTAGAGTCTGATAGACCCCCAGATTTCTCAAAAAAGAATATATGACAATGCCCATTGAAGTTATAGGGAATATTTGCAGTCCCTGTGATAGCATTAAAAGTGCTAAACAAAATAAATTAAATGGACATTATTATTATTTCAGGTACTTGTATAGCGCTGTCAATTTATGCAGTTCTTTATACACATATATATATTGTACATTCACATCATTCGCTAACCCTCAAGGGGTGTACAATATAAAAGTCCCTAACTTACATTCATACATACACATATTAGGGCCAATTTAGACAGGATCCAATTATAACCTACTAGCATGTCTTTGGAGTGTGAGAGAAAAACCGGAGTACCCGGAGGAAACCCACGCAGGCACAGGGAGAACATGCAAACTTCAGGCAGGAAGTGCCGTGGCTGGGATTTGAACGAACGACCCTAGTACTGCCAGGCAGAAGTGCTAACCATTTAGCCATTGTGCTGCCCAGGACATAAAATTATTTAAAAAATCAAAATAACTTTTAAAAAAAAGTACCCTCGCCCCCCCGCGCAGTGCGCAAGCATTGACCCTGTGCCAGTGTGTAAACAGCAGTTGCAGTAATTCTAGCACTAGACCTCCTCTGTAAATCTAAAATGGTAGCTTGTAAAGGCTTTTAAAGTGTTGCCTATGGATATTAAAATGTATGCAGTTTGTCGCAATTGCACGGGGCATGCACAGTTTTTAAAGCATGTCATGTTTGGTATCTATTTACTCAGCATAGCATCATCTTTTATAAGTTACCAAATAATCGGCTAATATATTGTGTTTTTGTGCATTAAAAATAAAAAAAAAAGTGTGTGTGTTTTTTTTTTTTTTAAATTTGCATGTGAAAAATCTCTGCGTGAGTACTATGTGACATAAAAAATTGCAGCACCCACCATTTTTATTAAATATACAGAGATCCTCCTGCGCTCCATGGAATCCCTAACCAAAGCCAGCTGCTGTCACCTTTTTCCTATACCATGGGATATGTGCAAATAACAAAAAATATTGTGATGATGAAGCGCTCAGCTTATATTGTGTATAAAAATTATAATTAATTCATTCAATCCCCTATAAATTAATGATGAATACCGTGATTACAATAATAAATTTGTGCTCAAATAAATATAAAATATACAAAATACACTACTAATCCATTGAGATAATATATTGTGCCAAATCACACTCCTATTGGGCCACCTAGTGGCTAACCAAAACAAGTGAAATATTTGATGAAGTGATAACACTTGTTGTGTTCAAAGTGACAGGTGTAATAAATTAAATAAATCACAAAAAACAGTCCAAAATACATGTGAATAAGTGTTCAGTACACAGTGATTCATAACTTCATTCCATGCTGCAAACGTGCTCCTAGTGATACTCTGATGTGACTACCCCGACGCTTCTTCACCTTCCAAACTCAACCCTTGCGGGTCACAGAGCTTTATGTATAAAGGATCTCAAACCTGGCTTTATTAATTCCACTGACTCCACCGACTCCACTGAGGTCCCCCTCCATGCATGACCGCGCAATTGTCAGTTAAACTAGCGCAGCTCTGTATAGTAAAAAATGGTGCAAATTGCAGTATCTATACTTTTTTATTTTTTATGCTATAAACAAAAAAAGACCAAAAATTTTGGCTATAAAAAGTGCACAGGTGATCAAATACCACCAAAAGAAAGCTCTATTTGTGTGAAAAAAAGGACGTCAATTTAATTTGGGTACAGCATTGCATAACCACGCAATTACCAGTTGAAATAGTGCAGCGCCGAATAGCAAAAAAAGGCCTGGTCATTAAGGGGGGTAAATCCTTAGGATGGCAAGTGGTTAACACACTTGGAGTTTCTCCATGGTATAAAAAGCACTGAAAAGAACATTTTCAATACCAATTGATTTCTCATGGCAGTAAAATGCACATTGTAATCAAATGGTAGAAAATTAAAAACATAAATGTTTTATTATCTGATTTACACTGTGTATTTATAAATCGTTTGCTATAGGATAGAAGTTTTCCCCCTTGGCATTTTGAGTTTTCTTTATTTACAGATATGCAGTGGATTGTACAACAACATAGAATCAGTACAGAATTCTACTTGATCCATTCTTTAAAACAAGTGTAGTATTTGAGGCATTCAGATGACCGATAGAATATGTAGAATACACCATTTAGTAAATAAAAAATTGTAGAAATAAGCCTGGCCAGCAGAAGTGCAAGGGTTGCACATCATCTTAGTAACAAAAGGGTTAAGACCAGCCCCCAATCACATTTCCAGCCTACACAGTGAGGAGAGTTCCTCCTCCTGACAGCTACAAAGAGTCATTTGGTTTACAGTCAGACAGAACTGAGGCGAGAAAAGAGTTCAGATGTGCTTGTCAGTGATCCCATCCTCCTTGTAACCACTGAGAGCTGAAGAAGGAAGTTCTAAATACACAACAGGAAAACGACTTAATTCGAAACATTCGTTTAATTTAGACAGGATACAAAAGCAGCACTGCAATGAAGTTTTTTTCAAGTTTAATGTTGCTTGTTTCGTTAAATGGAATTGAGAGCTGGGGTCTCTCCCCTGAAAAAAATAATCAGTATGCCTCCTGGGATGAAATGAATGTGATTGCTCATGGGTTACTCCAGCTAGGCCATGGCTTGAAAGAACATGTGGATAAAACTAGGACCAATTTGAGGGACATCACAGGCAAGTTAAACCAGCACAATGTTTCTATGGCAGCACTCCTCACTAATGCCAAGGAAGTCAGAGACAGTGCAGATGTGCTGAAGGACAGGATGCAGAAGCTGGAACAAAGAGATAAACAACTGCAGGACCTAACTCTACTCCTACGTGACAAGCTGCAAGAAGTCAGTAAGGACAGAGAGGTTCTGGACAGTAGGTTGCAGAACATAGAAGAAAAGCTCCAGCTTTTGGAACCAAACAACAATTTCAGCGCCAAGGAAGATGTTCGGAGTATTCAGGTAAACTTTACATTAATCCTTTTATGTTGTTCTTGATATTATTATATATCGAATATACTACAAACCTCCAGCTATGCATAAATTGTTTCACAAGTAGTAAGGGGTAATAAAGGATAAATTAAGTCCCAAGGGTATGGCAGTAAATGTTGGCCTAATAGTTTAAATAAAACTAAAGGAAAAATTTTTGTTTTGGATAGAGCAGAGAGGGATTGGAACACATGTCAGTTACTATTGCTGCCTATGCCCCCATTTGGGAGATTCATCCTTTCTATTTGTCCTATTTACCAATATCATTGAGAGTAAAAGTGAAAGAAAATTCCAAATTTTGGGTTGTCAATAGAACAGGGATAAAGGAAAATTATTCTACTGTGGACACTCGATCTGGTCACAGACAAGTATTCCCTCACTTCAGAGGGATTTCCTCTCACTTACTGTTTTAGCTAAGGGACAGGTAGGTATATCTCCTCATTGGGTCACAGGAGGTAAAAAAGAAACTGAGAGGGGTTATAACTCATCCTTACTCTATCCAAAAGGAATAAAAAAAATATTTTGCCTTTTAGTTCTAGCTTTTCACTAACTATTCTTGATGATTGTGTGGAAATCTCTAAAGGTGGACTCTGGGTCAGTGTCTATGAGTGTATTCTATGGAGTGCAGCACAGGTAGCAGATATATATATAATTTGTCTTTGAAGAAACATTGGAGGAGGTATGCAAGAGAGGCTGGTCATAATGGGGGGATTCAGAGAATGCAAAATATAGGATAGTGAAGATGCAGAGGGTGTAGATTGAAATGTAATGAGGGTGCAGTATGTGGGATAGCGGAGGATGCAAAGTGATGATATATTGGAGATTCAAGGGGTGTACAGAGTGCCAGGGGTGTAGAGTGTTTTTGTAGTGGGGAATGAGGAGGTATAGAGTGAGGTGTAATACAGGGGGTGCAGGATGTACAGCAGTGTGAGGTTCAGCATGTGAGGTAATGGGAGATGTAGGGAGTGCAGAATATGGGGTAGTGAGGGATGCAGGGGGCACAGAATATGGGATAGTAAGGACTTGCAGGGGGTTCTGAGTTTTGGGATATTGAGAATACAGTGGGTACAAAGTGTTGGGGTGGTGTGGGATGCAGAGGATGCAGGGTGAGGTATAATATGGAATGCAGATGGTGCAGAGTGCAGGGTAGTGGGAGATGCATGGGCAGTGTGTGGAAAGACGCTGGAGAAGAGGGGCCCTGTCAAGCAAGCTGTACAGAGCCAAATGATCTCTAAGGACAACCCTTGAAGTGGCACTTGACAAATTGCCTCCACCAAGGCATAGACCAGGGGCGGACTGACAACTCATGGGGCGCCCGGGCAATAGGGGATCATGGGGCCCCTGTGTCCTTGCCAAAACTCAAAAAAGCCTATGAAAAAGGTACCAGGGGCATGTCATGGGGCCCCCTACTGACCCCGGGCCCTCGGGCAGTGCCCGAGTTTCCAAATGGTCAGTCCGCCCCTGGCATAGACTGAGTGATATAGGTGATCAGCACAAAGCCAAGGTCATTTATAATTGTGGGGGAGTGTGAGGATCCTCGGGTGAGATCTACCCTGCATTATTTATAGAAGTCAGTGGGTGGCTTAAATAAACAGCATCAACCTATTTAGAAGGATATATCAAATAATGTTTCTTACTATTTATACTATGTATTAATATAGTAATTGCTACAGGTAATGTAGCAATAAAACAGTAATAGGCTCAGGTAATAATAGCTTTGTCAGCTTACCCAAAGCTAAGAAAATTTTGATTTATTGCTAAATATTACCTGTTCTGAAAAAACGCTATCTAAGCTTTGCAAAATGTACAGTAATCCATGAACTCTGCATTGTTTCATATGCTTCATAAAGAATGCTCTGAAATTATTTCTTATCCAAAAATAAGCACACTTATAGTACAGAGAGGTATAAGATCATTTACAAGCAGAATAGGATTTCTGGCATCCATTTGACTCAGCTTCTGGCATGCTATTTACAGTTAAGTGACTCAGAAAGTATTGAAGCTAGAAACAGCAAAGTAAGGGGGATTTTCAGAAGGCCAGCAATGGCAAATTGCATAATTGTTTCAGTTCCAGTTTATTTTTTTAAAGAAAGATTATCCTATGTGAAGTTGGTCCTTATTTTCCTAAAAATTAAATATTCGTAATTAATCAAATGATAACTGTTTTTCTAAAATTGTCTTGCACACAAAAATCTCATTGGAGACAAATGCAGATGTTAATATTAAATTTTCCTATTGACAATACATCTTTTCATTAATGGTTTGGGCCACTATACCGCACGGACATTATTTTTGCCAATCCTCAAATTTCAGAGCGTAGGTAAAAATGTTCATTTCAAAAAGCAGGAATAATGTTTACCTGTTACACTATTTGCTCTATTTCAGTCACAAATGGAAATCCAGAGCAAAAGAATCAGCGAACTTCTGGAAAAGATTAAATTCCAGCAATATAAAAACTGGACAAGCAAAATCTGCAGATCAAAAATATACAAAGTAAAGTAAGTCAACCTTTGTACTGCTTATTTTTGCCAAGGACTCGTGTATTCAGGGTGAAGACAACTTTGGTACTAGCCATATTTCTGGAGAACTGTAGTATAATCTGGAAAAATCCACTCCAGATGGTTGGCTTGATAGTTTCTGCAAAGGAATCCTCATAGATAAGTGTTTTCTCTCTTGGTATAACTGTAATCGGCTTAATTGGAAAGCAATCATTTCATGTCTACAGCAACCATAAAGGATAAGTATGCTTTCAGTATGTATCATTTATTTATATTTGTCTTCAGCCTGCTTACAAAAAAATCAGGGGCTACCTGTTTTACTGATAAACAGAATATTCATACACAGGAACATCTATCCTAGAAGCGGTGTGTTTACGTTCTCTGTAAACACACTGAGTTTGGCCACCAGAACAGAAAATACATTTAGTCCTAGATTGTGCCTACCAGGCTTTTCAAACATAATTCCATAGGTTGTTAGGGGTTTCTTGAGCTATGAATGGATTGGTCTTCCACCTGTTGGTGCTTTCATAGTTAGTTCTTGCATCAGTATTATTCAACAGAGCTAATTGTGTGAGACCAGAGAACCCCTTCCTCTTTCCTCTTGTCTCTTAGGTAAGTAGTCACTGACTCCATTGATCTTTTTATCTTCCTGTAAGGGTGGGACTTTTTCCCTTGATTACCCATATTAGGCACTTTCTGGTCACTAACCCCCTTTGTAACAGGGCATCTTCCCATTTGCCACCAATGTAAGGGGACCCTTTTTTCAACTAACCACTAATCTAAGGGATCATCTCTCCCTCTGAAAGTAAATAAAAATTAGCAAACCAAACAGCTAGTGTTTAAATATTTGCATATGTTATCGGCTTCATAGAACAGAAAGTATACATTATAATCCATATACGTACTGTATATAAAGACGAAAAAAAAAAACTCCACCATCCAACCCACTAGTTTAGACAAAAGCATAGTATTAACTGTATCAGAGCAAAGGTCAATGGGGAGATCCTTTACACATATACTGTACTTAATAGTATGTTGTATAATACCAGAAAAACACACAGAACACAGACACCTGGATGCAGGTGGAGGTAGAAGTAACCAACAATGTTTTGGGGTGAAAAACCCTTTCTAAAGTCAAACTCTTGATGGGACATGGCTGTAATTCAGGTGATAGTATGCTATTGAGAGCATAAAATTGCTGTATCTTCTTATATGTTATTAGTAGCACCACATCCCAACATTTTAGAGAAAATAAATAGGGCTTATTCACATGAAAGAGCTCATCATGGAAAGATAAGGGACTTTTCATGAGGTGTGTGTGAATTGATCAAAGAGTTCACAAACGTGTTAGGTTAAAAGTAATTTTTTTTTCTTTTTGTACATATTACAATTCATTCTCAAAAAAGAGTAATCTTGTATTTGTACAGTCATTATATTTCTATATGCCTCTACCCATACATTATGTATGTCATTTCCTATGTAATCTATGAGGATCTCAATTATTTGCAACAAATTCACTATTAATCTTGCAATCTCATAAAATCAGGGAACGAGCAGGCATCTTCCTTTGAATCTGCCCAGCATTATGTTCAAACGTCTAACATTATAGGGTAGGCTTATGTGCACCCTGTTGAACTGAATTAAGCTCTCCTTCTTGTACACTCAAGACACTCTTTTTTGAGCCCCCCCCACCCCAGTAGTGCAGATGCTCATAAGATTTCTTGGCCATAATGGGCTCCCGGTTTGATAACGTAGAGACTAAAAAGTGAGAAAATGTTAATAGTAGTGGGGCAATAAGGAAACACTACTGTTTGGGTCTTGACAATATAGTAAGGTAAAGTTAATCCAATTGTATTTTTTGTAGACCATTGTTATTTTGTAGACCTTTTGTTATTTTATTTGTATTTGTACTCATAAAGTCAAAAAGAATGTATTTTTTTCATCAGGGGTTGGGATTGCAGAAGAGTATTTTAATTCATGCCTGAAATACCAGGTGCTGGCCTATGGGAAAGTTAAACCAGGTCCAGGACCCAAAACTAAACTGTACATTTAAGATGGGGTCTTAAGCATAATTTGAGCAAGATTATGGGGTTAGTTTACTGAAGGAATGGAGGCTGTTTACTATGGAAAGTAAATGCTTACTTTGCAAACTGAATATTGAGTAAGGTAAAGCTGTGTTAAAGTGGGATGGAAAGAAAAGAGAATACTTTTTCTAGCAGGTCTGTAGTTTCTGGGTTACGGATTTAATCCTTTTTAAATATAGGTCCCACATTTCTCTTTGGGCCAATCCATTGATACCATTGAAACTAACATATGTAAGACATATGGTCCAAGTGCTCTATTTTATTTTATTTGGGTTGTTTCTGGAACAAATTTGGGCTCCGTCATACATTTGGAATTGTGTTAATACCATTCTCATTTTCTACATCAAATTTATTCTCTATAATTTGTATACATAGGGCTAAGTCGAAATATTAATAGCTGTACTTGTCCTTAGATCTATTATTTTTACTATTAATATTGTAACAGGGTTAGCTCGGCAGCGGGTGTGTGTGACCCCCTGGATGGGTGCACAACACAAAACAAATAGGCACAGCACAACAATAGTGGAGGTGAAAACAAACAGGTGCAATTTATTTACAATATTTACAGAAAAAAGGATAAACAAAAAGAAACATCAAAATAAATCCTGGCCAACTTGGCTACTTACTGCAACAACAGCTTCTCCCTAGCTACCCACTAGGTACAGCCTGCTGCTATACCTAGTTGCTAGTACTTGGAGGCTAGCCACACAGGCTTTGGTCTCTCTGCACACAGGTAACAGGTCAGCTCCCCAGACAGTTCAGGCACAGATCTGGTTCCAGGGTGGAGCAACTCCCTAAGCACTCTGGGAGGTTTTATAGAGGTGTTTAATGAGCCCACTACCTTCAGCTGGGCTCATTATCTCAGTGCTGAAGGACTCAGCACTTCCCTCTAGTGGTACAAATCCCCATAAAGCCTGAACCTTGGACAAATATATCGTCCATCCAGGACGCAACCAGGTGATTTCACCTGCCTACTGTCACATAATGTTTAAAGTGTTACTAAACCCAGGACCCTGCATTCACTATATATGGTTTCCCATAGTACACAGAACATGGAAATGCAATTATTTTAGTAAATATAAACTGCTAAATACCTTTTCTCATCAGCAGTTAGAGTAGTCTTCTACTTCTATCATTGTCTAGAAGAGCACTGGTTAAAGCTTGTAGGAGGAGTTTTAATTCTGCTCTAGGAGGATGCAGGACCCCTGACCTCCATGCAGACCGTGCTGATTGGCCTTGTGCTGATCACATGCACCCTCCCAAGAAAAAAAAAAAAAAAAAACCTCTCTAGCAATACACACCAAACTGTGCAGAGTGACTCCACACGATATGTCTTATCAGGACATAAGAGGGTGACACCTGAAAAAGGGAAGGATCAGAGAAGTCAGGATCAAACAGCATTTTTACACAATGCAGCGGATTAACCTCTTAGGTTCCACAATGAATATATCAAGCATGCTTTACTGCACATACTATACAGACTGACATTACTGTTGTGGGTTTAGTAACACTTTAATTGATGTTTGGGGGATTTGGTTTGTTGTATGAATGTTTACCAACTTAATTTTGTCTAACAGCCTCTGTTTTATTTTTTTTTGTCTTGTTTGCCCTTTCATTTTCTAACATTGGAAAAAAACACGCATATTTTATTATTAAACGTGTTACCCATGTGAATATATTTTACATTGTGTTTCCATATCATCAATCATCATATTTTGTAATGCTAATTATTGGGTACTGGCCACCAGCTTTGGGAAATAACATTTGGTGTTATAGTTGTTTTTAGTAAGTGCATGTTGCTTATAACCTAAATGAATTCATGTTATGGTCACTGCTACCTAAATGTTTGTTTTTAAACATTTAGTAGTATCAAGCACTGCATTGTTTGAGATTAACAGATCCAGTAAAAGTATATTTTTTAGTTGTGGCTTTTATAAACTATCCCATAAAATCATCTTTTGATTATTTTTAATTTTGCTTCTCACTTTCAAAGAGACAATCATCACCAACTTTTTGTTTACCTTGGCTCTTTGAAAGAGAGTAAAAGCAGCAATATTAAGGGCAATAAAAAAAAAAACAAAACAAAACAAAAATCTCATACTTACCTCCTCTGTGGAGTGGTTTTGCACAGAGCAGCACAGATCCTCCCCTTTTTGGGTCCCCTGATAGCACTCCTGGCTCCTCCCTCCTTCCAAGTGCCGCCAGTGCAAGCAGCTTGCTGTGGGGGCACCCTAGCAGGCTCCTGAACCGCTGCTCTGTGTGTCCATTCAGACACAGAGTCACAGCTCAGCCCCACCCTTCTCTCTCCTCATTGACTCACTCTATGTGATTGAGGAGGGAGTCAATGAGGAGGGAGTGTCCTTGGAGAGCCAAGGCTCTCGTGCACATTGCTGGATTGCGATGGGGCTCAGGTAAGTATTGAGGGGGCTGGGGGGGCTGCTGCACACAGAAGGGTTTTTGGTCATAGAATGCATGAAAGTAAAAAACCTTGAGTCTTTACATCCATTGTAACAACCCAGTCTCATTAAGAATCAAGACAAGATTCTGAAATACAAATTAAATTGTAGTGCTTTACATGCACCACAATTTCCCCCTATCCGATATTTGCTTGCCACACTTTTGCCATTTATAAATAGACTTTATAATCCACTATTACATTTCTTGTTTAGATTTCTATATTTTTTTTTGTTGTTGTGCTATTGGAGCTGTATATATGTGCTTTTTTTTTTTCTAACACAGGGTTCTCCTTACCTACCATAACCTTTCCCCATTTCTCCCATTTCATCCTCCAGTAGTATCTGACACAGGTAAAATGATTTTGGAATAGTGCAAGTGTAGACTGACAGAAGTAAGGAGACAGGATTACATATAGTGATGCTTAGCTTGAGCAAAGGAGAGATGGTTCTGCTAAGGGAAAAGCTGAGTGGCAAACTAGGTCAAAAGGGAAGATTTATGCATGGTGTCTGCAAATGTAGAAGGATTTCTGTCTCTTAGAAACATGAGCAGCTCTTTATTCTTGTTGCCTTAGAGATATTAAGCTGGTATGCAATTGATAGCTAACAGATAACATGCATTGCAGATACAAAGAAGTAAAGTGGAAAGCCAATACTGGAGGCTCAATCTTCAGGGAAATGATGACTGGTTTGAGAAAAACAGCAGCCACAATTCCGCAAAAAAAAGTAAGTTAGTTATATTTGATTTATTTAATTGTGAAAAATCTTACATTTCTTTAAGGATTAACTTTCCTCAAAATCATATTCCAGTTCTGGATGGGCAACAGTGGATCAACCAACTTCTTATGTTGCATAGAGAAGCACAAATAACTAGTGGTGATGCTACATACCTCAAGAATGTCTACTCTTGTCCTAAAAGATAGTGTTTATAACTCCCACACAAATAGTGTCTCCTACCTAACACAATAATCTGGGTAGCTGTTCAGTTAATATGTAAACGTATCATCCAAATGCTAAAATTAAGACTTGTGCTTTCCCAATACCATTTCATGTGAACATAACACTGATGCATACACACTATACATATAACAAGTGATCTGTAAACTCCAACAAATAGTGCCAGTGTATAAAGAAAAAAAGTGCCAACATTCTTGTGTTGACTGTCTTCTTTAATGAATAAAGTGCATAATTGTCTGTGTTACTCCACCACAATAATCCCTTCTCTATGGTCCCTCTGGGACTGAACTCACCGGAAGATGTTGACCACCCAAGTGTATACCAAGGTAGGTCAAATGTGCTTTTCCACAGCCTCACTGTGTATGGCAGTATCTCAGGGTTAATTCAATACCTCATGCCCATATATTATTATTATTGTTATTCAGGATTTATATAGCACCGACAGTTTGCTCAGCGCTTTACAATATAAATGGAGACAATACAGCAACGATACAGTACAATACAGGAGAAGTAGGAGGGCCCTGCTCCTGGACGCTTACAGTCTAATAGGGAGGGGCTGGTGGAACAAATGGTAATAACTGTGGGGGAGGAACTCATGGGAGAGATAGAAGATTTGGTTATTAGCTGTTGGCAGGATAGACTTCCCTGAAGAAATAGGTTTTCAGAGATTGCCTAAAAGTGGATAAAGCAGGTGATAGTCGGACAGATTAGGGTAGAGGGTTCCAGAGAATGGGAGAGGCTCTGGAGAAGTCCTGGAGACAAGCATGAGAGGATGAGACAAGGGAGTTAGAGAGCAGGAGGTCTTGGGATGAGCGAAGTGGAAGGTTTGGGTGATATTTAGAGACAAGATTGGTGATGTAGTTTGAGGCAGAGTTGTAAATGACTTTATATGTTAATGTTTGAATTTTTTTTCGATGGCCAATGGGAAACCAGTGGAGGGATTGGTAGAGAGGGTAGCTGACATTGAACAGTTGGTAAGGTGGATGAGTCTGGCGGTAGCAGCAGCATTCATGATAGACTAAAAAGGGGATAGCTTGCGATTAGGTAGGTGTTATAGAGTTATTATGCAAATACTGTGACCCTACTTGCATATGGTAATATTGCATTGCCTTATACTTCCTGTTTCCTGTTCTGTGCCCGACCTGGATGTAGTTCTGTTGTACAACATGATTCCTCACACCAGCAGCTTGTGTTGTCTGCATTCCTGTACATGAAACATGGTGTCAGAAGTGACTTGAATCAGGACTGAGCCTCTTGTTTGGAGCACAGCAGCTTTGTGAAACACAGGTTTGTGAACTACAGCCTGAGACTGAGGATTTTCTGATATTTGATAGCTCAGAGGCTTACTGACATTATGGCTGCCATGAATTGCATACTTCCCCCAGAGGGGATGACAATGAGTGGGGATTGGAGCAGCAATTGGGAATCTTTCAAAGCTGAATTTGAAGATTATTCTCTGGCTACAGGCTTGAATGAGAAAGAAATCTGCAGTAGTGCAGGCAGCAACTCTGAGAAGAGTCATGGGCAGTGAATGCAGGCATGTGTATAAACACAATCTGACCCTCACAGCAGATCATCAACACAATGTTACAGCCATTCTAAATGCACTGGAAGCTTATTTCAAACCTGCCAAAAATGTAATTTATGAAAGGTATGTGTTTGGATGCTGCAAACAAGAAGAGGGAGAATCTTTTGATAACTTTGTTACACGCTTGAGAGAAAAGGCAGCAACTTGTGAATATGGCACACTCAGAGACGAATTGATAAGGGACAAAATTGTTCTTGGTATAGCTAGCGAGAGCACACGCAGGCGCCTCCTAAGAGAACATGAGTTAACTCTAAACGCAGCCATTGAGACG